ATTGATCATTCAAGATGTTCAGCACTGGTCATTTTTTCTTTCAGTACTAACATTTAGGATATACCATGACATTTGGTTAATGGACCATACCTATTCTTTTTATTCATCTCCATAGAAAATATGCATATTAGTTAAAATCCACTGCCATGTTCAATGGAAAATTTAAAAAAAACCACTATATTCGGATTAAAATGGCTAGGCAAGCAAAATAATTAGCAGCCTAAAATTCAATTAATAAATAAAGCATATCATTTACTCAGAGAGCAGCATCAGGATTTTAGTCATGGTATCATCATCTAGACTCATATTGTTGCTAAGGAACTTAAAAATTGCCCAAAGTTTAGGGAAATAGTGGCAGAAAATAGCAGCAGAAATCTCTGGATGGTTTGCATTATATCCACAAATGTTTCTGTACAATCCAAATAGATTGCTGAAAACGTGTACTTAAGGGAAACCAAGGACAAATCTGTGACTGATTACAAATTCTCAGGTTAAAGATCAGTTCAGAAAGATCTTAAGCATGATATAAACCTTCATTTTCTACTTGAGTCTGATCTATCTAATATAGAAATCATCTCCCCCTTTAAGCCTGATAACAATCCACCCCAATTCTAGGGAGACAAAGTAATGTTAATGATTAGGGTCTCAAAATTGTCTCAGGTGAATGGAACCATATTTATTCTATGCCGACAGAACATATTGTAGAGCAATGACAAAAAGAATTAAGCAAATTATCTTTCAAAGCTTCTGTCCTCTTACTAAACTTTAAAAAAAATATTTCCAAGGAATCAAAAGAATGTTTCCAAGGAATCAAAGTGTTCAGGATAGAAACTATTCGCAGTGAATGCTTTCTTATTGAACCATTTCCCTTATTTACAACAATAAAACAATGGAAAATGAGAATTGCTATCATTCTATACTGTGCCACCTAAGATTCTTTCAAAGCATAGGGATTACTTTGACAAACTGACCTGTCTCTCTTTCAGCCCATGTCAACTAAGTCAACCATAGGGAAGTGAAAAATGATATAGCCAAACAAGCAGAAGATTTTGGAATGAGGAAGGCTGCACTCTATACAGAAACTTTCTATATTAAAATCCTTGCATCTTGTTCTTTTAAGAGAAGCTGTAAGACAAATAGTCACACATCTAACAGAAATCCATTCCCTTCACAATGGAAAAGTATACTTCAACAAAAAAAAGTATGCTCAACTGTTACACTCCTGGAAGACTTCAGACCTGTAATCCTCAGAGTTTGTTCTCACATCCGTAGGCATCATTAGTAGTGCCAGAAAACAGGGATAATGTTTATAGTTTTATTATGCAGCTAAAACATCTTAAAAATCTAGGAACATCTGTCAAGGTAAAATAATATCTCAGTTATATTAATAGGACAGTTATCTTTCTTCCCCTTCTAGCTATATCTACATTTGATAGTTGGATATTTGAGCATCTCTTTTTCTGAAGTATGTTCAGAAAGACATAATTAACAAAAGATTGCTATGTATTTTCTTTAGAAAAAAGACAAGTGATACAGAAGCATAGAATCATGGGGCCATCAATTCTAATCCCCTACCCAGTGCTGAACTCCACAGACGTGGAGTTTAATGTATTTTTCCTATAATTTTATTGCTCTTTGTTTTTAGTGTTACGTGCTGAATAAAATAGAACTCAGAATATACATTTTTAATAAATGAACAACAATCAACAAACTCTCAGACAACAAACAGGATAGAAGTGGGCATGAAATAATAATATAATAGTAAAGAATCACTTCTCAGCTGTCTCAAAATTCTAAAATTGAAGGAAACTTTTTAAAAAAGCTAATTCTGAAACAAGCATAATTACAAACAAAACTGGAGGTATCATGGCAACAAATCTAAAAACAGGCATTTAAATTGCCATTAAGGTTCAAAAATCATTCACACATATTAAAAAACAAAGTGATAGCTGCTGAGGAAAAAAACATTACAGGGTGCTCAAATACAAACTAAATGATTTTTAGGGTACTGTATCTAAATAAGAAATAATGTTCAAAACTCATAGTCCTCCATATAATTATATTCTAAATGACTACCCAAAATTTCAGATAATTATTTGGTTATATATTTTGAATCAGAAATATAATGTAAAAATATTTTGCTCTTAAGCAACTACATGGGATAAAGACAGGCTAATAACTCCAAGCAGCTGTTGAATCAACCAGCTTTTCTTTCCATCAGTCCTCAGTTCCACTGTGTATGTGCTGATCTAAGAACACTTTTAAATATACTGATAAATAAAAAGTTGTTCTGAACATCTGTAAGCAAACTATAAAGAGATATTTCATAATGAATGAACATCATGAATTTTACATAATACTAGCCAAAACTGTGTATTTGTCTATTGAGTCAAAGGCACTGGAAATAGCCCAAAACATTTATCCAGTACAAATATCTTTTCAAACATGCATCTGTAAGACAATTTACAGAGATATAAAAATAATTTTCTATCAGGGTACTTATCTTCAGAAGTCAGAGCAATTTGATTACTGTTTTAGCTCAAACAGGGGTGGGATTCAATTTTTTTAACAACCAGTTCTGTGGGCGTGGCTTAGTTGGTGGGCATGGCTTGGTGGTCATGTGACTGGCTGGGAGTGGCCAACTCAACATCACTCACATTAAGGCATGCATCTCCTCGCCTAGCCTCGCCTGACTGTGGGGGTGCTGCAACAGTCATAAGTGTGAAAAATGGTCATAAGTCACTTTTTTCAGTGCCATTGTAACTTTGAATGGCCACAAGCAAAGTACCAGCAAAGGAGAGGGGGAAAACTCCAGAAAAGTTCCAGAGACAGGAAGTCTAGTCCTGCCAAGCATGTAAATACGGGTTAATGGAGAGGCAGTTTCTGTAAGCAACACCAGAATGTTTCCTTCCTGCCTCCCTTACAGGATTAAGCCAGTCATTTCTTCTAACAACTGGTTCTCCAAACTGCTTAGAATGTTAACAACCGGTTCTAGAGAATAGGTGCGAACCTGTAGAATCCCACCCCTGAGCTCAGAGCAACATGGTTTGTATTTGCTAACATAAAAGGTGATGATAATCATTCTTAAAAGCATAATACATAATTCACAAAGGTTTGCTTCTACATTCTGCTAAAATATCTCATCATGAGATAAGACACATTCTGCAATACTCCGTTGCTCCAAATGGCTATGCTGCATGAGCTGCAAGTTTATATTATGAAGTCCCTTGCTACTCTGTGGCCAGGAGCAAGCTGAATTGGACACAAGTTTCTAAATATTCCACAGACTTCTAAAATCCAGTTTTTACATCACACTACAGCATTAATACAAATACTGTTGGTGTAACTGATTATAATACCTACAAAGATAGTTAGGATCTGCAGAAAGCACTGAATTAGGGTATGCAATGTTGCATTATCATCAAAGAATCCACAAAGAAATCACATTCTGACTAACAAGTGGTATTGCAGATATTACCATCAGTTTTATTTTCATGGGGAGAGGAAGTGAACTTAGAAGGCTGTTAAAAGAGCAAAAAGAGCAACCATAAATGAATATAAAATTCCTTTATTCTTAATTGTACAGAAATTTGCTTAGACGAAATGAAGTATACAAGCACAAAACAGCAAATCTAGATCATAATCTCGCTTTTGCTTTCAAGGAAACCGGAAAAACCAAGGGCTGCAGCTTAATACACCAGGTGAAGGAATGTATTATGATTTTAAGATCCTGATTATTGTTAGGAAACAACATTTGGATAACTACTTGCAAGTGATGGCATGAGGGTAAGGAAAGCAATTGCTTCAAAGGAACAATAGATTTATTTAAAATGGATGTAAATCAAAGGAATCTTAGAGAAAAAAATCTATTTCAATGGGTACAATTCATTTCAAAGGAGAAATAACATTGTTTCAAGGACCATAAATCAAACTATGTTTCCAAAATTTGCACCATCTGTCCTAATACTTTTGTTTCTTTAAAACTAGTGGCTATTTTGGGATCAGAACTTATAGGAGAGACCATGAGATAATTATCCTGATGATTGTTTGTGATTTTTATCCCAGATGCTAATTATATATTTATTTTTATGTTGCTGTTATGCTATTTTTTTAACTGTTTGCTGTTAGGCAGAGTCATAATGTTGAGATGGGAGGCCATATAAATTGAAACAAATAAATAAGAAAGCCCAATTCAATTTAAAAAGTAAGTTTTTTAAATGGAATGGTGGGAAGTTTGTGCTTGGTTGTTGTTTTTGTTTTTATTGCACTATATATTGTTTTTACAAATTTATTTAGCTATTTAAGTTGTCCATTTAAAAATATTTTTCACACAATATTTCTTTCTTTTTTTTCTTTCCTTCATTCTGTTCTTGAAAAATATGCTAATGTACAATCCTCAACAACAAAATTAATGGGCAATGATTGTCAGTCCTCCCAGGTAAACCAGGCAGGAAACAGGACTAGATGAACAAATTCCAGTGTATTGTAAGGCTACATTAACAGAATCTTGCAAGTCTGTAGGCACAAATATCCCAACACCATTTTTATCTGCTGGATCCATTAGGGTGGGTCCTTCCCATTTTTTTTCCCCTGAAAGTTGCACTAAAGCCACTGAGGGCTCCTGCCTCTCTCGCCTGTTTGGTCCCTAGACAGTATCACTTCCCTTCTTTCCCCAAGATCATCCATACATTCAATTGTGATGACTGAATGTACAATCCTGCTACGCTGGATATTAAAAATAATATAGTTAGCATAAGGAAGAAGGATACTGATTCAGTCAACTATATTGACCTGTAGGACTGTCAAAGTTTTACAGAGTAGGAAGAATGAAGCTAGACAAATAAATTTGTATAAAACAATTTCATAAATTTATATGCGAATAACTTCAGCTGTATAGATTTCTCTTGCATTTTATTTTATTTCTTGACTTCCTGGATACTTATTTCTTCCATTAATTTTGTCAATAAGAGATATCTAATCCATAAAAATATGAACCTTACCTGAACAGACTTCTTCATATGTGGGATTTGGGGTATATCCTCCTGCATAACCTACTTGAGTAGAGTAGACTCCTTTCTGCTTCCAAAATTTCTTCTCTGCCCCCCAGAAACAGCCCATCCCTGCAATAAGCATAAGCAATTATAATACTAATGAAGCTGTTGTTTACATTACATATAGAATAAAATAGAATTCTTTATTGGCCCAGTGTGATTGTATACACAAGGAATTTGTCTCCCGTGCATAAGCTGTCAGTATATATGCAACAAGTGATAAATCATGATCATCATCATAAATCATAATATACAACACTCAGTTATAGTCATAGGATACTAAATAAAGCAATCAACATAAATCATTAGATACAAACAACATAAATCAAATATATAATTGATATAATAATAATGTATTTATTCTTGATAGCATACCATGATACTTTTCATTTGGTCTCACTAGAGATTTTTATATCAGTGTATTGAAAGGTATGTGTGCTCTCTTTGGGTTTACTTGAACAAGCTATCTTAAAACATTTATGACAATTTAACTGTAGACCCTGTTTTAGAGAAACAATGATATTTGGATTTCCCTTCCAATTTAATTAAAATGTTACCAGTAAGGAATTTCAAAGGTTTCAATAAAAAATAATATCTTGATCTGCATGAAGCAGATGAAAATGTCCTTTGAACACCACATAATTTGTTCCAAAACTCTTGTTCTGAAAAAAGCATCAATAAATTCAGGAAGGTGTCTTTTCCTCTTTTTTATTGCCTGACAAACTCACTCTGTCCTTTGTAATTCACAAAAGCTCATGATCTTAAGTAAGTTAGTGTTTAACAAAAATACCTTAGGCCAGTTAAAGACATGACTATTAAACAACATTGACCAGCATTAACCTAGATGTTGTACCTGTGGTTAACTTACTATCTAACATACTGACATGAAATGAAATGAGTTTATTCCATTATCAACTTAGTAATTTGACAAGTCTATATTTAAATTTAATATATCGATTGAAATATAAAACTAATTAAATAGAAAAAAAATAAAATGCTTTTCATAAACTCAAATATTAAAAGTACTGATACTCCCTAATTTTAGATGCTGCACTTTATCAAAGTTGCTTACAAAATACAGAACCTCTAGTGAAAAGACTACATCCATGTAAGAGCTTTAGGATAGGTTAAAAGGCAATCATACATATTTTTACAGCATAATTTTCTTTCAGTTGATTAGCAAACTGTCAAAGCACAGTAATCTGTATTAATGGCAAACATTCATTTAATGTTCTGCTTCCTGGCATCTGCAATATTTAGAGGTGGCAGAACAATAATTAACTAAATTAGAGATCATGCAGGAAGGAGGTGGGAAAAGCCCCCTCAGCCTAGTCAATTCATATATGCAAATAATATATAAAGTGCATACACAAATGAAGTATTTATTCACTGATGTGAATAAAGTTGGCAAAAAACCTCCATATAAATGACCTTGTAGCCTCAGAAATCATCCTATGAAATTGAAATCTCTCAAATGGTACTAAATTAACAGCAAGCAGGGATAAGAATCCATGTTGCTTTGACAGATATTAACATTTTTGGGCTAGAAAATATATACCTAGGAAAATTCATAAAACATCTCAAAAATAGCTTCATTTAATAGCCATTAAAATTATCTTGAATGTTGTCCTAAACAAATCTTATTTCAACATTTTGCAAGATATCCTTTCTCCCTAATCTGGTTTAAAGTCTTGAGAACACCTTAAAAACTGGGAAGTGCAGAATTCTTTGGGATAACCAAATAGCATTAAAGCATAGTAGTATAAAAAATTTGCAGTTGGAATTGAAGGGACTGCATTTTCTTTGTGGATTTGTGGATCAAATGAGAAACTGTCCCAAGGAACTAAAAACTGATATATTGACATTTGCATTGTTAAAACAGAATTATTATGTTTTCATTTAGTATAATTGTTATCAAGCTCATATGTTTCATGGCAATTAATGCTTTGATGGGTCAACTGTTAGTAAATCCTATTTTTGCAGACCACAAAGTCTCCCAAGATTGAGCCACTGAAATATGACAGCAAAATGGCATGATTTCTTTTTTACAATGCAAATAAAAAAAAAACCAAGTTCATTATTCCTCAGACTTTAAAGCACTTTTTTTCTATCCCTCTCGCCTAATAATAATAAAAAAGGGAAAATTTCAATCCCATCCACTCTTATGCCAACAGTAACTGGCAGGAGGATTCCTGCAGACCATGATGCCTGCAGCTATAAGAATAAAAAAAAATTAAAATAACAACACTATGATTCCTAGACAAAATAAATCACTCATCTCTTTTACATAAAAGGGATCACTTACCAAAAATTCTTGCAGTGATAAATATAGGAAACTGTGTCTTCTGTATGTGTATAAATATTGAACAAAATTTAGTTTACATGTAGACCATTATTTTCAATTAATGTGAGGCAACTTCACACCTTCCTATTTTCATTGCCAATATCAAAGTGCAAAAACATCTTAAAGTTAAGCTCTTAAATTTCATTGGCAATGGAGGAAGTTTTTTCATGTGAAATACAGGATGCTACCTATCTTTATTTTTATTCCCCAATTCTAGACAGTTTTTTTTTCTTTGAAATGTTTTAATCCAAGTCCTATCGAGAAATGTAGGACATCACTGCTACCTCCTATCATTTTCAACATTCGTTTAGAAACACGTTTAATAGAATAAAGCCAAAACTGCCATCAAATAGATCACAAAGGTATGGAGTTCCTTTGAATCTTTAGAAACCAACTTCAAACTAAAGGGGTCTGACCAGCTGTTATCTATGTTACTAGTATAAAAGTACTAAAAAAGAAAATTTTACTACAGTCTAAAAATAATTACACAACCATAATAAATCTAGCAATGGATAAAAGGACTAAGTAAAACTGTGTAATTGTGTCCTGCATCTTGAAACCAATCAGTTTCCAGTTTACCTATTGATTGAAATTAGAGCAATAGTTATTTTCATATAATCATCTTCATGGATGTAGAAGGTGTCATACATTCTAAATTCTTCCATACTTCTTATGTGACCTGGAACTCATGAAAAGCAGATGTTTATATTTCTTGTTTAATATGGTCCACATTTTAGAGCAACGTAATTTAAAGCAACCATAGACTATAGAGGCTCTCACCAGAATAGGAATGTTAGATCTTAGGTCAAGTATTGCCCCTATCTATCAGATACAAATATTCTAATTAAAAGGTTTTGAAGTTGGGATACTCAGAAAATATGACATAGTTAATTTTCTCTATGGATTCCAAAGTCTTCTCTTGCTGACATGCATGTCTGGGCCCAAAATTCTATCTTGTTTAACAGACAATGCTCAAAGGGAACAGATGCACCAGTCAGTAATAATAGATTACACAACTGGAATAGTCATTATTTATTTATTTATTGGTTGAATTTATTTTGTATATACTATTATCAATATAGGAAGTGTTTCTTGGGCATATAAGAATTGTTCCCCTTTTAACTTCTAGATCAGTGGCCCCCAACCTTTTTTGTGCCACGGCCCGGTACCGGCATCACAAAACGACCCGCGGCCTGGTACCGGCATCAGCATGCATGACAAGGCAAGGCGAGCCGAGCGACAGGGCAGCCAGCCGTCCCCCGCTTCTCCCCGCCACCTTCAACTCCTCCTTTGTACCTTTGTCGATGGGCTTCGCTTCGGGACGGCTTCGGGACGGTCGCTCGGCTCGCCTTGCCTTGGGTGCTGAAAGAATCCTCATGCCTTAGTTTCGTTCAAAGCCCCCCCCCCTTCGATGAAACTAAGGCACGAGGATTCCTTCAGGACCCAAACGCCGCTTTCCAATCGGAAAAGCTCACCCGGAAGCACTTTCTCGTCAAACAAGATGGCGGCGCCCAGCAAACCGGCGGCCCAGTAGGAAATGTTCCACGGACCGGTACCGGTCTGCGGCCCAGTGGTTGGGGACCCCTGTTCTAGATGATCATGTTGCCCTTTCTTTCCTTCCTTCCTTCCTTCCTTCCTTCCTCTTTGAATGAGAATTGACTCATGGCAACTGTCTGAACAAGTCCCTGCAATTTATTTTGCAACATTTTTGTAAGTGGTTTGAACTGCTCCTTCCTAGGAATGAGAAAAAGTAAGTGGCCCAAAATCATCCAGCTGGCTTAATGGCTAAGTCTCAGGGTCTCCTAGTGTTGGTGTCTTAACTACTAAACCAAACTGGCTCTTTTTATTTATTTATTCTTTTCTTTATTTATTCAATTTCTATAGCTCATCTCAACCCAATTTTTCTTTAGTGCTCAATATATTATGCACAAGAAATTAACCATAAAAATAAGGTACATTATATTATTTCAACAATATGACAAAAGAATGGAATCTTTGAGCTACGTGCCAGAATCTCCACTATTTTTACTAAAAATATTATAAATATTTAATTTCTAACTTTCCCTTTGTTGTACTTGACAATATAATATTCTAAACATTTAAAATGTTTGTACATTTATGAATTCAGTTCTTTCATCAGTTCTTTTTCCTCTTAATAGCCATATTCCAAATATCTATAATTTACCTTGCTGTGGTATTATGGAAACCGTTCTTGCTTGAATGAGGTAAAACTTCTGCAAACACACACTCTTAATTTTGTCATTATTTTATATTCTCTAATTTTAGGTTCTCAATCTATTTAAGTTTAAATATTGAGTTATCATTAATAACTCTTTTCTAATGTTGTTCTAAGTTTATCCCTGTAGCTATGAATATTTATTTAGTAAATTGTGATATTTTTGTTAGTATATTTAAGACTTATGCCTAGAAAAAAAGTGGTTTCATTTCAAATATGATTTCTAAAATTCTCTCAATAATAATGTGTACTTCTTTCAAGTACTTTGGAGGTTTTTTTTCCTTGTTTACCATATATGATAAAATGTTCCTTATGTCTCATGGCATTTCCAAAAATTTTACTTTATGAATTAGCAATTATTGATGGGGTTGTATACCATGTGTAAAACATTTTTAATCAGTTTCCCCTTAAATAGTAACGTGGGGTAAATTTTATAAATTTGTTCCATAATTCTTCCCATTATTGTATTGTATTGTCTATTTCTTTAAAAATTTGGCAACCA